TGATACGTTTATTAAAAACGGAAGCAAATTTTCATGGCCCGAGTTCAAACTGAAGGATGAAAGGAGAAATCAATTTTCTTCCAGATCACTTGAAATCCAATATATAAGCCTACATTCGCAGTAAGGTTTAAATTTCGTCCAATATTTCATCCTCCTGCCCCTGCATTAGCACTGACAAGACAAGCTAACTCGACTACGCTGTTGTCTGTGTTGTGATTGAAGGAGTACAGGTAGGCCTAGGGGTGGAGGCTACTCTTTGGACTCAAGAGAAAAATGCTGTGGAAAAAAATAAACGCAAAGGCTAAGTACATGAAAATACACTTACATTTCAAGGTCCCTTGGAAATCTGAAGAATGCTAGGCCCGGTTTTTTGTTTCTTGAATTGGAACAGTTACATGCAGAACACCACTGACATTTGACACTGACGACAGGCGCCATCCTCTTTATTCCACGATCAGTTGGTGGTCTAGCTGTGAGGCTGTAAGGGAAAACCAATACCATATATGATACAAATGGAATTTCTTCAGGTCACTTGAAATTCATATTTTGATAAGGTGTAAACCTTTTGTTCTCCTAGGCTGTCCCTGCTTCAGCACTGACGAGACAAGCTAACTCAACTGCATTGTTGTCAATGTTGTAATTTACAGAGAAGAGGTTGGAGCAAAGGCTGTCACCAATGATAGCACATCAAGGGAAGCAACCCAAAAAATTCAAATATGTAAAAGCAGTAAACGGGGTTGTTTTCCCCTTTTCCCCAGGCCATTTGAGACCTGGAATTTCAATACACATCAATACAATAAATATAGCCTAGATTGTCAAAATTGGCTGGGAAAGGTGCAAGCCTAGCAGCTTTCACAAGCACCTTCTAAATGAAAGAAATGGATTCTTGTTTTATATAGAACCTTCAACAAGTTATACGTGTATACATTATCAAGAAGTGTTTAAATTTAAAAGCCGAGATTTCGTTTTTATTATGACCTTGTGACCCTCCAATTTATTGTTGCGGAGAAAAGAAAGACTTTTTAGTAGGCTTACATTGTACTTTTAATACTTGAGAGATTACAATTCCTTTTTTTTTTCCATTTTTCCCTAAAATTTTTGGCTCATCTCCCTGAAAATCTCAGGTTGGCATCTCTGCACTGTCATGAGAAAAATGCTTTTAAATTTATATAATACAGACGAGTAATTTAGTTCATGTAAATACTTACATTTCAGGGTCCTTTGGAAATCTGAAGAATATGCTATGTCCAGTCTTTTCTTGAATTGGCACAGTTGTACGCAAACTTTCTCAGAACACCACTGACACTTGGCACTGATGAGAGACGTGTGAAAAATGCGTTTAAAACTTTAACATCTGCGTGCAGATCCACTGGTTTTAGGGGCTTAACTGCCATATCTTTGGTTGCAGAATACACATGTGACATGATATGGTCGCTAAAACAGTTACTAATCAGTTGTTTTCAAGAAAATCTCAAACCTTAAATAGCGAAACATCAAATCATATGGTGAAATTGAAATACAGGAGGGCATCTACAGGAGAGCATCATATGCCCCCCGCTCCTTGAACACCCCCCACTCATGTTTAAAAACATGCGAAATATCTATGAATTGTTGCCTCTATTGAAATATAGTCCGAATAAAAACATCAATAAATCTCTTCTTTTTTTTTTTACAACCCCATAAACCCTAAACCACTTCCAAGGCTAATATGGGGGATGGTGTTTCTGAAAACACTCCAAATTTTAAGTAGGCCTAGGCTTACTGATTGGTACTATGCAGCAAGCAATTAATAAGCCTATTAAATTGTAATATTATATAGATTTTCTAGGGCCAGTTCAAATTTGCCACAGATAGGCCATAATCCTGAATTCGAGAAAAATTAAGGACAAAGCATGTAGATCCAGATCTAGGTCTAGGCCTACAATGCCTGATGAGAATTGATCTAGATCTAGAATCTAGACTGGAGGGAAAAATAATGATACCAAAATAAAAATTTACAAGAGAAGTTCTAGATTTTCTAGATCTAGATAAGATTTCTAGAGATCTAGATTCTAGATCTAGATTAGATCTAAACTAAAATCTTAGCTAGATCTAGATCTAGCTAGATCTCTATGCTATAGACTATAGACTAGATTCTAGATCTAGATCTAGATTAATAAATAGATCTAGTAGTCTAAATTATACTATAGATCCTAGATCTGGGCTAGAGAGAATGCCTGAACATGTCACTTGTCACTTGTAGAATCTGTTGAAGTAACTTGAAGTAAAAAACAAAAACAAAAAACAACCTAAGACGTGAAATGTATACATGTAACCTCCTAATGTAGATCTAGATCTAAATACTTACATTTCAGTTCTTTGGAAATCTGAAGAATGCTAGGTCCAGTCTTTTGTAGAGCTATCTTGAATTGGCACAGCTAGGGCCTATTAGACTGTCACATAACGCCCACTGACACTATAAACACACTGACAACAGCAGACGTCATCCTTTTGGTCTAGGCCCACCGCGCTTCGTTTTATGATCAGCTGGTGGTCAAGCTACGCTGCATGGCTGAAAGGGGAAATATCAAAGCGGGTGATACAAGTAATGGCATGAGATCTCTTACAGGTCACTTGAAATCCACACAATTCGCTTGTAAGCAAAGCTTGTCTAATTTTTCATCCTAGGCCTAGGCTACTGCCCCGGCGCTGGCACTGACGAGGCCCGCAAACCGGACTGCACTGTCGCCTGCTTGATCTACCCTAGACTAAGATTTATGGGGAAGGCTCATCGGCTACAAAACTATTTTTTTGACACTATTACACAAGAGAAAAAAACCCTTTTAAATATCGCTAACGACTAAGTACACGTAAATACTTACTTTTCAGGGTTCTTTGAAAAGCTGAAAATGCTAAGTCCAGTCTTTAGTATCTTGAATTGGCACCGTCGTACGTAGAACTGTCGCACAACACCGCCGACTCTTACGACTGACGGCAGACGCGATTCGCTTTGTTTACCGCGCCTCGTTTCACGATCAGCTGGTGGCCTAGATACGCGAAAAGAGGCCTCGTTTCCTGTCTCTATATTTTAGTGTCTCTGCTGGCACTCCTTTGCTAGATAATTTGACCAATGATGGTGCTTTAAACCTGTCACACCCCCAGTCACGTCACGCACAAGGAGTCATATTATTATTAGTTTAAGCGTTGTTAAGGACGTTTTGCGCGGAAGTTTTAGGCAATATTGAAGACCATTGCAAACTGAGGTTTTGCAAACGTTTTTTTTGTGATCGTCAAGGGTAAAAAAATGTAAGAAAAACAACAACCCAATAATAAAAACTTACAGTATACACCTAAAACGTCAAAGCGTCATAAACTTTAACATTGTAACTACTAACACATGCCTACGAAACGTGGTCCAACAGACGGGTGAGTATTTTTCAAGACTCGCCTGGTGATGTCTACACCGTCTTGGACCCCCCCCCACCAAAAAACAACAAACAAATAAACAAACAAACAAACAACACAAAACAACAAACAACCAACTACGTGCTTACACTAAGATATGGGGGCACGGTGATGTCGCTGACTCAAAATGAACAACTTGTTGACCAAATTATTGCAAATCAAAATTATTTTTGTATTCCTGTGTATGCACCACGAAGAGCAGTGTGATAAACAATTTTTAAAACATGTCATTTTATTGGCTGATAAAAATAGGCCCCCTTAGTTTAGTCGCTCCTACAGAAGTGACATGCAAAGTTATGAGCGCATTTGCAAAGCAGTAAAATAAATAACTAATGAGTTAGAATTTTTCTATCACAGACAGGCGAAAGTATAATACCAGCCATGATATAATGACTAGTCAACAGCTGCTAATGTTCGAACAAGTTTTAGATAGAGCATCAAAGTTGGTACCTTTAGTCACCACTTAACGATTACGCCTTTAGTACTTTTGTCTCATCTATTTATGAATCGTACTCTTATTCCGACCATTTGGAATACTGTGACGAGTTCTCTATTGCGTCTTGACGAGTAGTTACACAATTCCATAAAATATCTGTTTCAATCTTTGATGGTTACATATTTTACCACACGTGCAGGATTTTTTGCTTTGCCACTCTCGGCAACTTTATTATATTCAAGTTTATGGTATCGATATGCATCTAGACCTTCACAATGCACACTCTGTCTTAATTCGTATTCTGTGGCAATGTTTTTCCTTCTTGAAGATTGAGAGACAAGTGGGGTGCATTGACGTGCATATCTCGTAACAGCATTTTTTGGGGTCTCATTATTCTCACGCCTGCGGTCGCACTGGTGCGAACGTCCTTTTCCTCCGTGAAACCTCACACTTATCGCACTCTGTCTGTGTCCTAAAGCTAGAGGTAAGTAGGCATATTATTTTGTAAAATTTTTTTTAAAAAAAGTTAATTGATAGTAATTGATGAAGAAGGTATCGATCTCCATGACTGGTCTTGTAAAAGTTTAAATCACAGCGATGCGAAAATGTTTTCTTTTCTTGTTTAAGGCTTAATAAGGTGTTTATTGGCGGTTTTTGTGTTTGCGTAACCTGAACTCTGTCCCCGACAATGACAGTCCACACTTGATTCGGGGGCTCTCGTCACTTAGAGGTACGGTGTTCGCCTCTCAATCAGTTGGTCAAGTGTTTGAAACCTGCCAGCAACGATAAATTAGTTTTCTTCTCTAGAATTTTCTCCTGTCACCGCCTTTTCTACTCTCTAACCGTGTTCTGCCGTTTGCTTTCGTGTTCACTTTCTGCCCCCCCCCCCCCAATCCCCTTGCCCCCTCCTCTGGGGTCCTGACGTTTTGAAGCCTTTCTACTTCTACTTCCATAGCTCCTTCTTACTGCTGTCTTTCAGCCACATCTCTGATCGTTGGGTAGATAAGATTTAACACCTAGATTTCTAGCCTTCTTAGACAAAGCCGAAAAAATCTCGGAGGTCCCTTGTGCAAGTTGCACATATTGTTAAAGATCCCTTTATGGTCCAAAAATCAATAAGAGTTGGCTTTGGCTGCCACCCAGGCAAAATTCAAAATTATTCCTACCAAACTTAAAATGTTTATAATGTGTCCCACGCGCTCATATGACTTTATATCGCGGGTCAAGAGGAAACTATTTCAAGTGACATGTTGGCCGAAACGGAGATTTATTTACAATGGCCTTAACTTCCACCAAGGGACGCAACTTGGATTAAAACACCAGAGCCGTAGCTTTAAAAATGACTGAGTTACAGCCCAGAGAAAAATTATTCTATCTCCTACTTGAGAGAATATTTTGAGGAAAAGTCTGAAGCAGTTGAAATACTTTTCCCAATTAAAAAAAAATTATACCGGTGATAGAAAATAAAGAAAACTATTGCAAAGAGTCTACGTAACAAGAGGGTCCACTCCTCTCTTTGAGCCAATTAAAAAAGTATCCTTAAAATTCGGTGGCGCCCTCTTCGCAAATGTGCACCCTTTGCGAACAGAGTTACCCTCATCATCATCAATGCCTTTCACCTCTGGCAGGGTATAGGCCACATACAAGCTCCTTCCATTTATCTCTGTCCTGAGCCATCCTTCCAAGCTCGTTTCAAGTGAGCTTCATTTATCTCATGTCCCTTTCCACGCATCTCCTCCATGTTTCCCGTGGCCTACCCCTGCCTCGTGCTCCCTGTGGGTTCCACTGCAGTGACTGT